ACCAGGATCACAACCGAGGGTTCTGGACAGAGCTGGAGAAGGATGTAGAACAAGATTCTAACTCACAAAAAAAAGACCAGATTCACTGGCCTAAAGGAGACTGGAGAAACCCCGAGAGTATGGCCCCCAGACACCCTTTTAGCTCAGTGGTGAAGTCATCTCTGAGGTTCACTGTTCAGCCTGGGAGTGGACAGCCCCATAAAACCAAATGGGACTAATGAGGTACAGTAGTCCAGTGACAAGAGCCAGAAGGCAGAAGGGGACAAGGAAGCTGGTGATAGGGAACCCAAGGTTGAGTAAGGATAGTGTTGATGTGTTGTGAGGTTGTTAACCATTGTTATAGGGCAGCATGTGTACTAACTGTTAAATGAGAAACTATTTTGTTCTGTAAGCCTTCAACTAAAGTGAGAATAGCAGCACAATTGGAAGAGCGTAGGCGATGTCACTGAACTGTGCATGTAGAAATTTTTGAAATGGTGTGTCTTTGGCTATGTATATTTTCACAAAAAAAAAAAAGGTCGAGAAGGGAGGGGGTTGACATGTTGTGGGGTTGGTAACCAATGTCATGAAACAATATGTGTACTACTGTTTCATGAGAAACTATTTGTTCTGTAAGCCTTCACCTGAAGTACAATTAAAAAAATAATAATAAAGTAAAAAAAAAAATTCCCTTCCCAGGAAAGTTTCAGACATCTCTCTCCCTGTCTCTCAGAGGAGCTGTGCCTTTTGGACCAACAGAAACAGTTGGGACTTTTTGGTGGTTCCTATTTCTGTTTTTTGGGTTTTCCCCAGGCCTGGCCCAAGAAGGCTGGCAGAGTTAGGGGCGAGTCCCAGAGCAGGGACCACAGCTTTGAAGGAAGCTCCAAACCCTGCCGGCATTTCCCTTCTTCTGCAGTGGAAGGAAATGAGGAGGGGCCAACAGAGCTGGGGGTGCAGAGCAGGAAAGCAAAGGGAACCTCTGTGACCAGAGCTGCCTCCCTCCTCCTTGGCTTCACTGGGGCTGGGGAGCAGGGGTGGGTGGGAGTAAGGAAACCTTGCTGGAGGGACTGGGCCCTTGCTCACACAGAACCCAGGAGGAGATTGGCCCCAGAGCAGGAAGATCTGTCTGGCCTCAAACGGGCAGGAAACCAGAGCAGCCTTGTTGGAGAAGCATCACATCCACCCGACTCTGCTTCTTCTCGTTACAGGTTTTTATTATTAGACTTCTCACTGGTTCCCTCTGATTTAGGAATCAGTCCCAGAGTTACTTTCAGTTTGAGTTCTTCTTCTCCTTCTCCTCCCATCTCCTATTGTGACTGTGTGGGCTGTGACTTCTCTCCTTTACTACCTCCCTCAGGTCTACCCTCCGCCGCCCCCAGGAGGGTGGTATTTAAATTGCTTCCTAGCCTTAGAGGAAACCAGAAAGGGGTCAAAGAAGGGATAAAGGATTGCTCTGTAGTCAGAGTGTTGAGAAGCAATTGCTGAAGGAAGGACAGTGCCAGAGATAGAGAAAACCCCAAAGCCAAAGGGCAGGTTCCTGGGATGTCACAATACTACCCAGAATTTTCAGGAGGAAGGAAAAGGGAGCTGTGTTGAACACCCACACTGTTCCAGACACATATAGCCATAAAGTATTTAAACCTCACAAAACCCTGTGAAGTAGTGAGATTTTATCTCCATTTTATGGATGAGTTCAGTGAGGTTCAATAACTTGTAGAGCCCTAAGTTGATCTTGGCCCTCGGACCTCACATCCGGTGCCCTCTCCTTTCCAAGACCATGGTCTCCTTTTTGCTCTCCAAGCCTCCATAATGTGTAACACTGTGACACGGTCCTAGTGGAGAGTAAGTTGATGGTAAACCTATGGTTAAGACCTCAACGTTCTGAGCTCTGGGCCCAACTGCTGGGTCTCAACAAGGAGTTAGCAGCAACAAAGCTCATTCTCTGCCTTCTGAGAGCCCACAGTCTCTGCAGACAGCTAGAACCACTGAAGAAAAATGTCAAGGAGAACAAACCGATGACAGGTTTCCTCCCTGGCTGTCCCCGGAACTCAGGGAGTTGCTCTTCCTAAGGGCAGAGTGGCTTCCTCAGGATACTGGAGCCCTGCCCAACTCATGCACATTATCAGGTGGAGGCAGAGCCCTGATGCTCTTGTCTGGGCGGGGAGAGAATCGCCCCAGCCTGGCCCTGGTCCTGCCTCCCTGACTGGTGGCTCCCACTTGGCAGTCAGTGACCCATTTCTGGTGAGAATGCTGGAGGCTGGGGGAATTCGCCATAGCCACCTCCTTCCCCACCACACTTCAACCCTGAAGAAGCATAGAAGGCTGGGAGTTACTGTGCGAAAAGTGCCACCCAGAGCTCTAGACTGGAGGATGTGGGTCTGCAGTCAGAGCTTATTCTGCTTCTGTCACCCACTTCTGTTCTTTGGGGTCCATCGTTTACCAGGTCCCTGATGTGCCTCTTCCATGCTTTTAGACTGGGGATCCCAAAGTGGGTGACTTTTCTCTGTCTTTGAAGCCCAGAGGGGACCGAGAGTTTCCTCACCAAACCACCTAGTAGGGAAGTGTGAGGCCACTGCAGCTGACAGTGAGGTGGCTAAGGGAGGAAGTTGGTGTAGACAGGAAGAGAAGTCTGCCTCAGTAGTGACAGCTCCCCACCCCACCCCCAGCACCCAGCGGTTTTCCTCCAGGGGAGACGACAGAAAACTTTCTTCACGGTACAGACTTGAGAGAAATGGACAGATGACAGTGATGTGCTCAGGATGTGCACAGAGCCAGAACCAGTCCTGAGGACTGTTTCTTCTCAGTTTTGATTTGGGTTCAGCTGGCAGCAGCTGGGCCTGGTTAGGCTGGAGACCTTGCCCTGGGCCCACCTTTGACCTTTGGGTCCTTGTTTTGTTGAAGCCTCCCACTCCTGTCCTGCTGTCCACACAGACATGTTGAGATTGGCCCTTGGGAAGACAGTTCTCTCTGGAGCCACTTTCACATTTTGGGGTTGTGTTTATCTGTCCAGCCATCCACACTGCATCAGTAACGGGGAGGGTCCAGTTAGCCCTCTTTCCTGCAGCAGGTTCAGCAGATCCAAGGGGCAGCAAAAACCATGGCAGAGGTGCGATTTGGTGGTCTCTTCTCTTTCTCGTCTTCTCTCACTTGCCCCGCTTCTATATTCCTAAATTCTTCCATTTCTAAACTCTGACCAGAGACCCAACCCTACGTCCTTTTTTGAGTCATAGTGACCCTGTTTCCAGCCAGTAGATGGGCCCATCGCTCGGAATTGAGAGGTCCTAACTATAGGTTTACCACTAACTTATTTTGCATCAGGGCCATGTTACAGCATTAGACATTATGGCAGGTGGAGACTATAAGAATAGACACAGTCCTTTAGGGGCTGGATAAGTGTATAGCTAGTTTAATAGTATATGTGTTGTTGTTGTTGTTAGTTGTCAAGTCAATTCCAACTCATGGCGACCTTGTGTGCAGAGTAGAATTGCTCCATAGGGTTTTCAAGGCAATGACCTTTCAGAAGCAGATCGCTGGACCTGTCTTCCGAGGTGCGTCCGGGCAGGTTCAAACTGCCAGCCTTTCAGCTAGTAGTCGCGCTCTTAACTGTTCCCAAAGCCAGGGACTCCATAGTATGTGTGTAGATAAGTGCATAATAAAATACATAAGTATGACAGAAATGAATGATGTTTAAGGAATTTTCTTTCAGTTCATTAGAAAATGGAAGAACCACTACCAGGATACTTTGGCTTCTTCTGGAATAATGCAGGGCCTGTGTGACTCCTTGGGGACGCTGGGCACACACCATTCGTGTCCTCATGGATGAGGCTGTCAAGGAGTGGGCAGTGGTAAACAAAGTGGTCATGCTTGGGTTAGCAGGGAGTTATTGCTGAACTTGGAGCAATAGGTAGAGGAGAGGAATGGCCCTCCAGGTGGCCTGCAGTGTGCTGGGGGAGAGGCTGGATTTGTGGGGAGTCATGTGGGTTATCACACGGCTATGATACGTCAGGTAGGAGATCATATTTGATTCAGGAGTCGGGGGTGTTGTAGTGATCTGATTAAAGTGTCAGACTGCCTTTAGATGCAGGGCTGTGATCTGGAACAAAGGCATCTTGGCTGCTTAGAAGAGAGGCTTGGCTAGAGGGAGGTGAAGCGGGGGAAGGCTGGGCTCCTGGCATGAGTGGGGCTCGTCCATGGATGCTGTAAGCTTCACTCACTCACTTGCTTACGCGTTTATTCATTCATAAGCAAGACTGAACAGAATAAAATGATTCTTGGTCTGTGATGTAAACTACATTAGGATGTCTTGACAAAAGGTCAGGACACTTTGCTGTGTCTTAATTGGAAGGTGTATCATAAATACTTTACTACTAATAATTAAAGTGCTAAAATTTTATAAATTATTTCCTAAAAATTGGAGCAGTTATCCTTCTGCTAATGTTCTTCTCACGTATTTGTATCCTGATATGGGAAAAAGAGGGGCGTTGCAGCAGCTACACAGACTGTGGGTGTTTCAGGATTTGCTCATGCGAATGCCTGGTGCAGGAAGGTCACCATCTCTCAGACTGAAAGTAGCTGTTTTAAATGGTGACTCTCAAACTTTCTGACCTGCCCCATGTTAAGAAATACATTTTACAGCATGAACCGTGTGTGTATATATATAAAATATAAAAGCAACAAAAGCTTCATGAAACACTATCCTTACTATTTGCAATGAACTCTGGTATTTTCTGTCCTATTCTGTTCAGTTTTATTTTGTTTGTTTTCATTTAAAATTAAGTTAATCTTGACTCACTAAATTGATTCCATGACCTGCAGTTTGGAAAACGTTGCTCAACCAAACCCAACTCAATATGAAGGGTAGGCAGGACTATCACACCTTTCTGAGCCTTCCTTATCAGAGGTAGCATGTCAGGGTGAAGTCTGAGGGCCCAGGAGGGAAAAAGGTTTGGGTAGGTCTAGCCTTTCTGTCCTCCAGGTGGGGGCCAAAGCTTTAGCTCTATTAACTCAGATTCTTTCCTCAGAGCTCCATGAACCTGCCTCCTGACAAGGCCCGGCTCCTGCGGCAGTATGACAACGAGAAGAAGTGGGATCTGATCTGTGACCAGGTATGGAGTTAGGGAAGGTCAGGGAGGTGGGGAGCTCTGTCTTGGGCTGGACAAGGCAACAAGGCCAAAAGTGTCGACTGCAGTCCTGGTATCCCTTGGGCTGCCATTGTGTGAGGCTTCAGTCTGTGCTTACTTCCGGTTCCAAGAGGACTCTCCTAACAGACGTGGTGATGGGTGCTGGAGTTTGTGAATGATGAAAACAAAGGCCTGAATGTGCTGATGGATTATCTGTTCTCCCAAGTTCCCCTCTGGCTCCCTCCAAGAGCTACCTTGATTTCTTTTCAGTGGACTGGCCTGACAGTGGTTTATGTAGGTCTGGGGTATAGGGTCAGCTGTGGAGGAGTTTGGTATTTTTCCCAGCAGAGCCTCTTTCTACCTTCTCCAGAGTTACGGTTATGCCAAAGGACGATTTATTGCTCTCTGCCTTGACCTGGCAAATAGCAGGATTTTTCCTCATTATTTTTACAGGCCTCTAGGAATAGGAAGCCCCAACCTGCTAGTCTCCTGTTGCAAGTCTCAGAATAGTCAAGGACTAGAAGTTCTTCCTGCATGGTTAGTGTAAAGAGCTTCAACAGAATATAGAAATCATTACTTAGCTCAGAAGTGAGATCTTTTCACACCCACGGCCTTGCTCCTTCTCCTGCATGCATTTGAAGATCACAAGTCTGTGAACTCAGGCAGGTCTGTCTGCAGGGCTAGGAGAGTCTGCTTTTATTTCCTCACTTCTTGGAAGGTATAGAAGTGCCTGGCACAGAGTGTGGGCAGGCGCATTTGCCCAGCATTTGCCATGGAGCTTTGTCATGCACAAATTAATTTTTATATTTCTTTTCAAGCTCTAAACAAAATAATAATAGTTAACATTTATTGAGTACTTGTTATGGACCAAGCACTTTATATCTAATTTAATCCTCACAAAATACCCTGTGAGGAAGGCACTGTTCATTGTATAGATGAAGACACTGAGGCTCAGTAACTTGCCTAACACTGGTAAGTGGTGGAGCCAGAAATGGGCTCAGGCAGCTGACTGCAAGTCCATATGCTAACCATTCTGTTACATGGCCGCCCAAGTGATACTGCTTGACCTAAGCTAGGGATCTTAATCCAAGTCCCTTCTCCAGTGTGTTCTGTGCTAAGAGGACTTGGTGAGTACCTGCACTGCCTGGGGTTTGGAGAACAGTAGCCTTTTGGTATTGAGGTTCATTAAATGATAACCTCGACATCTTTTCTAGATTGTATAATTTTAGCTCTTTCTCAAACCTGCCTTTTTTTCCTCTCATTTTGTTTTTAAGTGCTATTTTCTAACGTTGTACCGTTTTCCTGCACCCTTCCCAGCCCCTCTGCCCTCTGTCTCCTCACATATCTCAAATGCTTGAGCATTTGCCCTGAGTTTCCTTCTGGATCAGATGAGGGGATTGGGCGCAATAATCTCTGAAGCCTGAAGTCCCATCCAGCTCTGGAGGGAGTGGGAGAGCCCTGGTCCCATGTCCTGTATAGAAGCGGGTAGAGGGGATACTTGCTGAATGCATTTTCTTTTTTTAATATACACACACACACACATATATATATTATTGTGATAAACACATAGGTAACAAAACATTTGTCATTTCAACAATCTTCACATGTATAATTCAGTGACATTAAATTAAATGTGTTCATCCTTTTGTTCAACCATCACCAATTCCCAGATTTTTCCATCACCCTTAACAGAAGCTGTAAGTGAATGTATTCTTAAGCATTTGAGGTTGCTTTGGATTGTTGGAATTTGGAGCTTGGGCAAGAAGCAGAAAGTGTTTGCAGCCCTGAACTGTGTTAACTCTGCAAAACCAGTCCCGTCCCAATTTCAGGTTCAGGCTGAGAAAACTGGATTCTTCAAGGCCAAGCTCCCCTTCCTTTGGCCTGCCCCTCCCAGCCCCCTGTCCATCAGTTGGCCAGGCAGTGAACAATCTTCCCCAGCATATCTTTATTTGGGGTTGTTGACAGCTCTATAATCCCTACATCTTCTAAGCAAGCAGCAGATTCGTAAAGTGATTTTTTTATTTTATTTTTTATTGTGGTAAAATATATATAACAAAATTTAAAATTTTAA